CAAGTCAACATCCATTGAGTCCTCTCTCATCAGGGACAGACACCAATGTAGAAACCTAAGGTATCAAGATGCCTTAGGACATGACTTGCTTATTGCAGGGGGATTCCAGTAGGCTTCTCTCAGTCTATACTCCACCTCCAAACACCTTGGAAGTCATTTCCCACACCTAAGGACAGCAATGCCCAAGGCTTACTCCCTTAGGCAGAAATCACCAATATTATACTTTAATTGCCCAGCAACTATTACCCTCAGGCAAATGTGGCAATACAGGAGTAAGATAAGGAAAAGACTTCCCCGGAAGCTCTCAGCAATCTATCTGGACCTCAAACCAGAGCAGGCAGATTCTGTGAGAAGATGAAAGAAGATGAAACACAGACTACTGATAAAAGATAGGATATGACATGGGTATATAATTATTGCTAAGGAAGTGGCTCCCATTTAAAAATGGCTAGATTCAGATTTTAAATACTTAGGTGCATGAGTCAATAATTATTTAGATACAGAAGTGAGAGATGCATAAAAATGAAAATCTAATTCAATAAGCGTTTTTCCCAATTCCTCAGAAGATCCTAAGATACAATGAAAATATCCTTTCCTCCAAGAGGATCACACTCTTGATCAGAGATTTGAAAAGCAACTTTGAAGAAAGCTACAGCACCAGCAAAGGAGAGCTATGGCACCATTGCAGAAGAGCTATGGCACCAGCCCAGGAGAGCTACAGCAGCAGCCCAGGAGCAGTAAGGCACCAGTGCAGGAGAGCTATGGCACCAGTGCAGGAGAGCTACAGGAAGAGCACAGGCTCTTGCTGGGACCTTGGACAACTATTAAAAGAAAGAAGACCTTGTGGGAGTAGCACTAGGGTGATGGATTAATATCACTAGGGGGATGGTTAGCATGCCTGCCCCATAAGCAAGAGGATCTGAATTAAGATTCCCAGAACTCACCCCAGTACAAAGTGGCTTGCTTGTAATTCTAGCCTCAGGAGGTAGAGAACAGGTTCCCAGGACCAAACTGGCTATGGAACCCTATGATAGCAATCTCAGGCCTCCACACACATGTACACACAGTTGCATATAGGCAGACATACATGTGTGCATGCATACACACTCACACATACACTTATAAACTTGCCTACATGCAAATAGATGCACACACCACATTTAGCTACACCATGAAAAGAATTATAGGATGGGGGAAAGAAGAAAGACGATAGCAGAGAACAGACAGTACAGCACACAGCAAAATACGAGCCAGGAACATGTAGGATTGTGCCAAGGAAAGAGCAAACTAGTGTGTGGATAAGGGGTGTGGCAACAAGTAGGAGTAGTGAGAAGTAGAGCAAATAAAAGGTCACAGCTGGATCATGGAATCCTTGAGTAACAGACACACTAGTGAGTTTGGATTTCAACTTATAGGTAGTGGGAACTCAGTAGGGGAAGGAACTCTATCAAAGCTTGTTTTAGGGCAGTGCAATCCTCATCCCACTCCAGAATTAGGGAACCTAATAATAAACAGGTAGTTAACCCCCAGCTGAAATCTGATTGGGCTTTTCTGAGGACCCAGACCAGCTGGGGTTTGGGGGACAGCTGGAGTTTCTCATAACACGTACTATAGATAAAATAATAAGGCCATTTCAAACAGTCCCAAGTTACTAACATCCATTCAGGACCTACCATCCTGGTCTCTCACATTACGAGTCCAGTTTCAGACCATTTTACTTAATAAGTTGAACTGACTACTACTCAGTTCAAACCTGTTTCCACAGAGCTCTTTCTGCACTGTCATTTTCATAGAATCAGTCCCTACATTTGCAGTCTGTCATAGATCCATGCAATCCCCAAGCATATGGTCAGTCCTCTCTAAAAGTTTGCACCATGAAGGAATGAATGAAATGTTAACAAGCGCAACCACCCTGAACCTTCCCATAGTTCCAGGTTATTCCCCAGTGGTTGCATCTCCGTAGTGACAATTTTATAAACTCTTGGCAACAGCACTTACTCTCTTGCCTGACTTACATTTCACCTGGCTGTACGGATTGCCTAAGTGTCTGTCTTGCATTACCTTCCAGTTGTTTTGAGCACATACATCTTATTTTGCTAATTCAACAGCAATTGAGTCTCAGGCTGAGGCCAGCTGCAGTTGAACAATGCTCATACTCATGTCATTTCCATCCTAGGATGGAGCTTTTGCAAGGTTGCTAGAAGCTATTTCTAAATGAAAATGCATTCACCTCTGACAGCTATTCGAAGTCCTTCTCCAACATCAGCTCCACCCACCGAGAAGTCTAATTTTCTGCCTATGCTGGAGATGAAGATCCAGACCCTGTGTCTACATGAACCCCATCACCTTAAAAATTCTAAAATAAAAAAAAAAACAATTTTTCAAAATCACAGAAACTAAGCTGTCTGTTAGCTTCTCCTGCCCATAAAGCTGTTCTTCTGTCACCTTGGCACATACCTACACACCTACACACATTGTTTGAGTTCTGTGGTGGGTTTGGGAGACAACTGCAAGTCCTCTTGTGATAAACCCCTGCCAACACACACGTGTTAGCACTGTCACACACTCAGAGTTGGGGGAGCCGAGGCAAGGTGAGGGCAATTTGACCTGTTCACATTCCTGCAATTGGCGGCTGGCTCGGAGAAGGCAGCACACAATGAACACTCTGTACTTGCCTCCCTGCCTCCAGTGAAACAC